ATTCTATACTGCGTTCACGGAGAGAACAACCTCGCTTCGCGCAGCTTTGGGCGGAGTGGGGATTAGGTGAGAGACTTCAGCGCGTTACTTCAATGCCGTATGCGTATCGATCATATTAACTTTCTAATGTTTGAAAGAATTCATTAAGGAATGCGCGGGTCTCCTTTGTCAATTAGCCGGATCTGCAAGCTGCAAGACCAATATTGACAGCATAGAGGGGGCAAAATGGGCGGTCGATCGGGCGGGATCTGACCGAACCGGACGAAAAGCGAGGTTGTTCTCTCCGTGAACGCAGTATAGTTTATATATTTTAAAAGCTCTGCTATTAAAATACTCTGTCTTATAGAGAGAGATATTTCTCTGTCGTTTATTTATTCCATAATTTTAATCAATGTGCTTTGCGTCGAAATGTGCGTTGAAAATATATAGCGGGATTTATATTTTTTTGTATGAAAACTGGTAATATGTTCAATATTGGAAAGCAATAATCTGTCATAGTTGCCATAAAAGCGCCAGTTACGTTTTACTTAATTTTCGCCGGAAATTTTACGCATATTATCTTCTCATCTTTTTCATTTCTAAACTCCCACATAACTTCAAGACTCAACTAAAAAGCAGAAAAAGCGCATTATTATATTGATAGAAGAAAACAAAATTTTTAGATAAGAGATTCATTAAAATAAAATAAAATAAAAAATATAAGAAAATAGAAAATAAAATATAAAATTTTGAAAAATATTCATAAATTATAAAAGATAAATTATCATATTGAAATTCCATGCGCATACCGCTGGAGTACTCTTATCCACAAAAATTGAAGCTTTGTATTCAGCTTCCTGATCTTTTTTCAAAGGACAATTAATCCCAGAATCCGAGTCCTTGCATACATCAGGTTTTTCTAGCGGGAAAGGCACAGGCACGTCGGCTAAGACACCAAATGCGCGCGCTTCGATTTTCGAAACATCTTCACCTGCAAAGAAAACATATAAATTAGATTTCTATATGAGCACTCAAAAAATTCAGAAAATTAAATTATGTATTAATATATTCTTTTTAATTATTATTTAATTATTATTTTTTACATTGCAATTTAAACCTCTTTTCTAAATAAAATTCATTTTTATCTCTAAATAGCGCATATTTAATACATAACTTTTCGCAGTAGTAAAATTTGCAAAAAAATCACAAAAATGTATAATTTGAGTTATAATATTTTTACTAACTTGGTGTAAATTTCATGGACACATGTATCTCGCTGTCACGGATTATCGAGCACTTTTCTTCGGACAAGTCACAGCTCGAGATCGATATCTCGTTAAACTTACCTAACTCCGAGCCTAGAATTCATTTAAAATAAGTTCAGTACGAATAATTTTAACATTTAATGTGAATTCAAATAAATATATATCATAAGTATTTATTTAATTAGATAAATATTAATATAAATAATTAATACTCTGCATAAACACGTGTGAAGGCGTTTGCTTCATATCGCCAATTTGTTACAATTATACCTTACATTACTACCTTGTAGTATCACAAAATTACAGGTAAGCTGTGATGTGATTACGCGTAATTTAACAAACATTCAAGATACTACATAATTAAATGGCTTTGCGTGTAATATTGCTAATAGCTTCCGATATTACATCCTTAATTAAGAATGTAAACGTTTTTCCTGTAATTTATGGTTAACGATAAAGGTAAAGTAACAACGTAACAATTAGAAATTTTCATGCAATCTTTATAAAATTCTTATATATCATTGGCTATCTATAAAATTAAGACAATTTAATTTTGTATTAATTTTTTTCGAGAGAAATGGATAATTAATAAATAATTAAATTTAAAGCAGTAAAATACAATATTTTTATCTCGATCAACTTTAAAGCTCAAATAATGGTCTTTATCAGAAGTTTCTAAAAAAATTAGAAAAAATCTAATTAAATATACAAAATTATACTCAAATATAACACTAACAATAAGTATGTAAAATTTGTTCAAAAATCATTTTTTGTGATTATAAATTCATAAAGCCAATTTAGAGACAACTTTTTCTTAAATAACAATAGACAAAATTATTTCTCTTTTTCAACTTCCACTATTTTTACAACTTTTAATATTTACATACTTTTGTTAATTAAATTTCAAATTAAAATTTTATTAAAATATTTATTTTCCTAAAACTCAATCCATTATATAGATTTATAGATTATAGTTCAATCCTTTATTTCACATAATTAATTATTATATAAAATGCCTTGGTATTTTAGTTCAAATTAAAATTCTATTAAAATATTTATTTTCCTAAAACTCAATCAATTATATAAATTATAGTTCAATCCTTTATTTCATATAATTAATTATAAATGCCTTGGTATTTTAGTTCAAAAAAGTCGATTTCGAATTGATCAAGGAATTTATAATAAAAAAACATAATTTTGGCACATGACACTTTATATACATATATATTGTATATACAGGATGTCTCATTTTAAATGACGATCTCAAATATCTTTTAAAAATGCATTTTAGAGAAAAATGCTTCAGACAAAAGTTGTAGCGTTCAAAGGGGGCCAATAGACGATCTTATTAGATTTTGGATCGGGGATCCGTGTTGGTCCCATAAAGAAAATAATTGTTTTTAAAAAAAAGTATGTACTTATTTATAATGTATTTTTTTTAACACTTATTTGTGTTTTTTATAACAATTGATTTGTCTCATTATTCTGTACATAAAAGTATTACGTAAGATTATCGAAAACTAAATATTTTACGAGATATTTTATTTTTCATCATATTCACATTTTTCTTTAAAATGCATTGTTCAAGAATTATTTGAGGTTGTCATTTAAAATGGGAGACCCTGTATATAAGATATTGGTGTATATTCATTCATTCTCAATGCTATTCCGTGCGCACCCGTACAATTTATAAACTTAATAATTAATTATTAAAAATTAAATAAACTAATCAAAAGAATCAAATATTTTTTACAAAAATAATAATAGCTAATACTTTTGCATAAACAAATTGTAAAAAATGATTAGAATGCAAACTTACCACAATCTTCGACAACGAAAGCAAGAGAAGATACTATGCAGCATAATAGCGGGAAAACAACATCTTTTCGTGTCATGTTGCTTCCACGACTTCAACGTGAATATTAAAGTCGCTTGCGTGAGATCCGCGCGTTTAAATTTATAAGATCGCGCTTACCTAACGCGACAATTCATCTCATTACGATTAATGATAGTGAGACTATTGTTGTTTATATAGTTCCATAAATGAATGGTATAGCTTCATACCACTTATAGCAATTGAAAATATTATAGACATGTTATCAAATATTGATGCTTTATAATAATAAAAATATTAATAAAGTTAAAACTATATTTGTAACGCAAGTATATAAAAGCGATGTAAATCTGAAAAAGAAAGATACAAATTTAAAAAATTTATCTTTTATTTTCTATTATAAAATATAAAATATAAATTAATACTTTTAGAAATATATATATCAGCAAAAATGAAAAATGTATTATTGTGCTTTTATAAGAGAAATTTTATCACAGCTGTTTGAATAGTTTCCCGCGTCATAACATCGTAGCGCTCCGATGCCAGCATCAGTCGTCAGGAAGTGACGTCCTTACACCGCACCGTCCACGTAGCGTTTCGAGTACTCGCACAAAATATTCCATAGCGATACGTTGACAGGACATTTCGTGCAACGTACTTGAGTAACGCGCAACGTGAGTATCGCATCTCTCCTGTTTATAATTTTATCTTTTCCCATTCTGGTACAAATTTTATTTCTTTCGCGAGATATACATATATTGCTGTGTATAATTTCTTATTAAAGAGATTTCTGACATAACCCAAATATTAAGTTATTAAAGTACAAAAATGCGATTTCTGTATCTATATGTTTAGTAAAATATTTTTGGTGCACCGTATTGTATGCGTGACGTAGATTCGTTGGTATTTTATAAAATAGCCAATATTGCTCACACAAATATATATAAAAGTTTATAACCTAAATTTAGCTTGCAACTTATTAAAGTGCAAAGCTACGTTTTTAAATCTGTATGTGTTAAGTGCAAAATACTTTTACTTAACAAAATAAATAAATATTTTTATATACAAAATATATACAAAATAAATATTTTTATATCGCACATAGTGACAGTAAATATGATAATATCATAATAATAATAAAAAATATAGTCAATGTATTACTTAAGAGCTTAGAATATTCCTAAAAATTCAATGCTTCAAATATCTATATTATTTGATAAATTGGGCATGCATAATTGTTTTTTCTAATCTATGTTTGTGTTTTTTTCTTAGCAGGATCTCAATCGCTATGGATCAAATTAAGAAGCTCACCGAGCCTGGTCGCCAATTTGCCAAGGACAGCATACGGCTTGTCAAAAGATGTACCAAGCCAGATCGCAAAGGTAATTTAATTTTGACTACTCTATATATAAACGTGACATATAATATAGTTTAGTCATAACTTATACTTTTATACATTGCAGAGTTCCAAAAGATAGCTATTGCCACTGCAATTGGCTTTTGCATAATGGGCTTCATAGGATTTTTTGTTAAGCTAATTCATATTCCAATCAACAACATCATTGTGTAAGTTTTTGTAATATTAGTATATCTTTGTTTAATCATTAATAATATAGATTTATATTTTAATATATTCATTTTATCTTCTTTTTTTCAGAGGTTCATAAATTATATCCTGAGATTCTTGTTACTTTTAAGAAGATTATTGTTAAGATCACACATAAGGTTACTTCCGTTGTTGTATGTCCCTCTATTATTTATAACACAAAAATGTGTTTACTCGGTACTGAATTGCTTTGGCAAGTGAGATAAGTGAGAGAGATGATGTGCGCATAATATATTAATGAATTTTATAATAAAACAGTAATCTAAAATCGTCTATTTTCTTTTTCATTAATCATATTTCCTAAAAATAAGAAAAATAAACTTAAAATCTAAGAAAATGTAATTGCAATATCTTTGTTTGAAAATATAAAAAAGTATATAATTATCTTGATTTTTCTGTTTTATGTATTATTTTCTGTCATTAAAAAATTTCTAAATTAATTCAAATCGAAATTTTCGAATAAAATATTACATACACACACACATAAGAGGAGATTCTAAAAGTTTAGATTATTTTTTAGTATTGAAGGCACTTTTATTTAAAGAATAAAATTTTTTGACAGGTTACAACGATAAAATTTTATCGGCCGTTTTTCCATCTCGCTCGCATAATCGGTGTATTAATAAGAATTTGCGGGAAAAACGGCCATACTGTATGGAAAACCATAGCCAGGTACTGAGTAATATATGTAGAAGATACAATAATGCCAATTCTCTTAGTCGGTGAAAATTTGGCAAGTTTTCCTTACTCATTTACAGCTTAATTTTGCTCCAAAAAGCAACGCTTACATTCTAAAAGAAAAAATTCTTTAATAATTTGCTGATAAAAGAAGAAGACAAATTCTTAGGTACTAGAAGCCACAATATCCGGGATCTTAGCACTGGCAGTATTCAAATAACAAAAAGGGTATGTATTTAGAATCACGGAGGTTGCGTACAATGCAAATTTACGATTTAAATACAGCGTAAATTTATTGAAGCGTTTTAAACGAATCTTTTTAACGGATATTTTCTTTTCATATACATTAACTTTATATTATTTTTTTAATTTCATAAAATATCTCGGTCTGACATTTAATCAGATGTATATTAAACTATTAAATACTCTGTTCTGGCAACTTAATAAAAATTCTATAAAAAGGGTAATATTCCTATAGCACCATTCACACGTGTCGCTGTTGTGTGATACTGGCATGATTGCCATTTTCACGATTTACGGATATTAGAAGTCATACCGGGATTTTACTTATGTTCGTAAATTCGGTATACTGTCGAAGGAAAAAAAAGGGAAAACACGAAAGACTTTATCTCGCTTTGCTTTGCTCACAAAGCGCTAGGAAAATCTTACGGTTTTATCAATCTGACGGTGGCAACACTCCGAAGAGGAAAAGGCATTTAGTCCGCGATTTTGTAAGCGTTTGTTTCGTTGATTAATATTACAGCACTTCGCTAAAGATATCAAACTAACTTCCATAAAAAATTACGTGAGAAATCATCTTATAAGCGTAGCTCCCAAAGTGCGTTTGCCAAAATAAAAAACAAAATGTTTTATAGAGGAGTCTTCAAAGAGTTAATCGATTCAAAACTAATCTAAAATTATTTTAAGACTCAACAAAAATTAAAAACGTTTTAATTATAGGAGACAAATATATTTCAATAAAATAAAGTTTCTGTTTCTTTGATTTTGAAAATATTAAATAATTCTTTTAAAAAATACAAAATTTGGGCTCTTTCTCTTTTTCTTTCTCAGCAAATTTGTGAAAATTATTATGTTTATTACAAATATTACAGATGAACTATACATATTATTTGTGCTTGCTCACAGTTTTCTTTGGCATTACTTTGTTTCACTTTCTATCTTCTTTATGTAATAATCTTTTATGTGAACATCGAAACTAAATATAATAGGAGATAGTATTAATCGTGGTAAAATCTCAATTTGCAAACGCACTGAGGGAGGGTAACAAATTGAGGTATGTCGTTAGGCACGTAATTCTCTGTTCTTCAACGAATCTAGCATTTAATAATCGTCATGTAATTAAGTGTTCGTTAACTATTAACGGTATGGGCTTATTTATGCGATCATTTTTGCACATGTATATAACATATACATATATACAAAGTGTCTCAACATGCTAAATCACTATTTTTACGAAAAACAATTTTTCAATTCTCTCATATAACTAATAAATAATTTGTAATAACATTAAAAATTTTTTTAAAATATATTTTTACATGCTTTATTTTATAAAATCTCTTGCTCATATATTATGTAACTGCAATGCGAAAGAATTGCATAATAATACGCGATCTTTGAGACACCCTATATACGTATATGTTCACATATTTATATAATATATCTTTGTATAAAATATATGTGCGTACGTACATAATATTAAATATCATTCGCGTCATTCGTATTTATAAGTATCCTCTAAAACGCACGTTATCGACTTGTTGATAATCAATATCAATATCAATGACAGATATACAAATCATATATAAATCTATATCAATGACAGATTTACCTACACCGGGATACTCGCGTGTACTGTCTCTTTCTCACTGTTTCACGAATCCGAGACAGGCGCTTCGCGAATAATTAGAGTTCATTTCCTAAATACACCGAATTCTTTTTTTATAATAAATGTACATTAAAACGTTCTTATTTTTTATATTTTGTAAGTTTTCCATAACTTTATATAATAAAATATTATTTACAAAAAAAAAATTGTAATTTATAACAAAACATTTCATATTCTAAAATAAAAATTTTTCTTTTTTCCATATTTCTTAAAATTTTAATGCAGTTTACTACGATTTAAATAAATAATATTCTTTTCAATTGCTAAATGTACGAAGCGCTGTGTCTCGGTTCTTGCTTATTATTTAACGACTGGATATCCTTTAGCAATGCTCGCTCGCCTCGCTAATTTTTTTCGTCGGCGCGACAACCATAAAAAAGAGATAAAGAAAGAAAATAATGTACTCGCCAAATAGCAAAAATACCAGCAGACTTTTAAAGTTCTGCTAAGGTATAGAAACAATATTCTTTTTAGTTAACTAAAATTACAACTTAGTTTTGAAAATTAATAATCAAAATGAATAAGTTAAAAATATTTTATGGATAATTTGAGAATTTTAATCATAAAAATCAGAAAATTAATAATATAATTAACATAATTAAACTTTATATGTTTAATCATAAATAATTTTTAATATAAAGAGAAAAAGTTCAAAAAAATTTTTTATTAAATATTCTAAATAACTTTTAAAAATTCTTGTAGAGGAGCGAGAGAGCATCACTAGACACAATCCATTCTTCTACCTTACATATATTATCGATTATATTATTAATAAGGCCTTAAGAATGTCACAGTACGGTTATTACGAAGGAATGTCTTCAAGCGTTCTCTACGTCGAACGTTTTTCGAGTATAACGAGAGCTCGTTAGAAAAAAGAAAGAGAAACAGATGAAATGAAAAAAAGAAGAAAAAGATCGATGAATGATAAGGAAGACGAAAGATAAAAATCATTATTCGCGTTTATGATATAATAATCGACTTACGAGCTACGGACTTTTACGATCGAGAGAGATTAACGAAGAGAAGCACGGACTGCTTGTTTAGAAAAAAAATTAAATTTAAATATTAAATTTAAAACATAAAAAAAAATAGAAATCAAACATAATTATCAAAATTCCTTTCTTCAGTTCTGCGATATCTCATATGTGGAATGCATATAATCTTGTTTTTGCCATTACGACGCCAACCTTTTTTCGTCTATTAAAATATAGTACTCAAAATATATAAGTAAAAAATAAAATTTTACATAATATATTGTGCATATATAATCAAAATAAATTTTGTAAAATATTAACATAGAATTAATGTAAATAATATAAAATATACAATTTTCTATATTAAGAATATCAGAATTTTTCTTTCAGACTTTTCCTTGAACTTTTAGTTTTCAAATCATAATTAAAATTATATTACTATCATTAAAAAAGATTGATGAAGATATAATAGTAAAAATATAGAAAGAATTAAATAACCATTACAATCACACACAAGAGATTGGATTGTTCTGCCTATAAAAGGATTCATCTTTATTAATACCGATTGACTTATCATAGTTTTCAATTTCTTTTAGTTTTGTCATTTACAGACTTGTGAAACTATATAGCAACAAGAATATATCTATATTTTTATAATTTAGTAAAAGAATTTATTTTTTAAATCTCTTAGATATCTTTTCAAATTCTATATTATTTAGATAAAGTTAGAGCCAATTATGCTTTCCGAGCTTCTCGACGATCCTCTCTTCTTCAAAAGAAACGGCGAAGAAAAACGATATTCGCCGTTTCGCTAAACCGTACAACCAGCATCCGACGTCGTCGGAATGAAGGGGCTACTTTGCCGATAGAAATCGGTTTCGTATTCCTCGACCTTCACTGGATACTCGGTCACGCAGTTCTGCGGCTGATTCAGGGCTGGCGGAGGCTGCTGCTGTTGCACGAAGTTCTCCTGATAGCTGGACAGCTGAAGAGGTTCGGCGTACTGCTGGTAAGATGTCGTGTCTATGCCCTGTTTTAAGCAGGTTGGGCTATGAAGACTTAACATATCGACCAGCCTGCGCCTCTGAGTCTCCAGTTCTTGGATTTGAGACTTCAGATCGTGATTTTGCGTTTCGAGGATCTCGGACTCCTGCACAAGGATCACCGTTTTCTCCCGCTTCTTCAGCCGGCACTTGGTCGCCGCGATCTTGTTGCGCTCGCGTCGCCGTCGTCGTCGTTCCTCGTCCTCCGGCGTCAGCTGCAAACGATAAGGATTTTTTTTTCGATCTTGGCATCTTCTGTTTCCTTTCGCGGGAGAGAAGGGAAATTTCTTGGATATCTTCATTTTTTGTCATTAGGAAATTTTCTATTTATTCCGATTCTTCGCATTCGAAATCTTCGATGTTCTTAGATTTCGAAATGTTGAAAGAAAGTCTTCAAAAAAAATTTAAAAATATTTTTGAATCTTTTCAATTTGGCAAAAAACTCTACGTTTTCGTTTTCTATCTTCTTTTAGGAGTAGGAAGAACTTTCTTGGAACTTCAATTCTCATGTTAGGAAATTTTATTTATTATCTTCTTTTAGGAATAGGAAGAACTTTCTTGGAGCTTCAATTCTCTTGTTAGGAAATTTTATTTATTATTAGGTTTTTAAAGTTTGTGCATTCTGATTTTAAGATTAAGTTAAAAATTTCTTGAATCTCTCCAATCTTGCAGTTATATATAAACTCTCTATTATATATGTATAATACGGTCTATTATATAATATGTGATACTTTCAAAATAATTCAGTCTTTAATAAGTTCTCATTGATTTTTATTTTGAAGCTTTCAAAACTGTAGTTTCAATCGACATAAGTCGCGTACTTCATAAAAATCCATCTGTTTTCCACTGAATGAAAAACGGCCAATAAGTCATATGAAAAATAATCGTTCGCAATTCGTTGCATTTTTACGAGCATTAGCAAGAATTCATATAAAGGTGTTAAAATCAATGCTTTACTTGAACGAAGCTGGGCTCGATTTTTGGATATAGAGACAGGAAAATATGCGAGTATATAATATTTTTCAATTTTCGCAATTTCAAAATTTTTAAACAGTTTTTAATTAAAATCGTATCTGATTCAGTTTTCTTAAGTAAGAAAAATTCTGAGTCTCATAACTTTAGAATCAAAAATATCAGGAAAAATATCAATATTGCGATCAAAATTTTTGTCATTAAGACGAAATCTTAATATTTTATTTTAGGAAGGATGCAAAATTTGTATTTTATTTTAAAAACATTTTCCTCCGCCTAATAAAAAAAATTAATAACATTCTAGTCTTGAAATTGTATTATTTATGATTGGATGAAGGACGTGTGCTGAAGAAACAAAATAAATTAAGTTTGTTTTCTCTTTTGAATATTTGCTTTTAAGATATATGGTTCTATTTTATTCATTTTTTATATATTATATATGAAATATACATTTTTTGCCTTGACATTTCTCAGCTACTATAAATTTCATTTTGATATCTAATATTCGATCGAAAAGCTGTTTACGAAATTTCCAATATACGGAATTCTCTATAGAATAATTTATTTCGATATTAAACACTTTTGTTATTCAAAAATAAAATATATCATAATAATGTATTTTCAATTAGCACAAAATTTTAATAAATTATATATCTCTCATATATATCTTCTGCAAAGTTATGTAAAATTATTATTATTATTCCATATTTAATGATGTTATATAATAATATTAAATCTGCTTAAGAATAAAAAAATAAATAGAGAAATCAAAAAATAAAAATATTTTTTGAAAAGAATTAAATACATATATTTTTACGATTACAAATGCGTGATTTGTGATGATTAAGATACGAACGATGTTATTTCTTCGCGTTTTGAGATTCTGCTAATTTTAGCAGCATGCACTACGAGTCGTAAACGAACGATCCTGCGCGTAGCATGTAAATTTGCGAATACCGAAACTGTCGAAACGGTCCGACGGCGTCTGTCGAAATTAATCTATTCGAACACGCGAATAGTCGCAACGGCAGTCAAGGACACAAGAAGGATCGAAAGGATTCGACGTCTGGGATCAAGAGACGTCTTCAAATCGCCAGGAGAGATGGAATTGTGTAGATATTCGCGAATATTCATTTAGTGCAACTGTCCATTTTAACTATATTTTCTGTATTTTTTCATTCAAAATGATGTCTATAGCATTAATTAATAGGAATAATTATTATGACATTTTATAAAAATTCGAAAAAAATAGATTATGTCAAGTCCTGAATTCCTCGTAATTATTAATATAATTAATTAATAATTTAATTAATATAAAAAATTACATAAAATTGTCAAAAAATTTCACAAGAGATCAAGAACAAACCAATATCAACTTTTTTACTTTTTTACTTTCGCAACTCTTACTTTTGCACAAAATATACGTAAAGTTGGCTTTCTCACCTCTGAGAAAAACAGTAAAATTCGAAATTAAATCTTACTTACACTACTCTTGTTGTTGTTGTTGCTCACCTCGTCCTCTTCCTCGTCGTCGGCGCCGCTGTCCTCCTTCTTCGTCTTCTTCTTGCTGTCGTCGCCACTACTATTCGCCCGCCTCTTCGTCTGCAGCGTCAGCTTCAGCCCTATCCAAGGGAGTTTAATTGATTCTCATTGATTAACTTCGCTCCCAGATACATCGACAAGGCGTTCACTTGCAATACACGAAGGTCGCAAATCCATTGGAAGTACTCAAAGACGTGGTTAGAAATTACACGTTGTGTGTGTGGGGAAAGGAAGATGGTGTCCCCTCTTTTACTAGTTTTTTAAAATATAAAATAAGATATTATTTAAATTAAAAACTCTTATATTCCTCATTTCAAAAATCCAGTTTAATTATAATTATAATTTTAATATATTTAAATTTTAATGTAATTTAAAAAATATAATTGATTTTATTCGTATATATTTATCCAAAATATTAACAGTATTATCATTGTAGTTTTAAATGTAACTGTGCAAATATGTAAATATGAGGGTCAAAAATCATGTTCATCTAATATAAAAGGTAGAAAGATTTAAATATATATGATTATGTAGCACGAGATAGTAAACACATTTTAATTTGCATATGTCTCTTAACATTACGATCAATTATAGACTTCCGCCGGAGAGTAGATTTAAAAATATAATACACAATATATTACTGTCATAGAAAATAACAGTGATCGCTAATATTTCCACGGTATATACAAGGATATTCTCGTGACCTTCGTGGGACTAAATCGCGATAATTAAGAATTATTTATGTCAGAGCTCACGATATATAATCCGTTATCAAAGCGTTACTCTACGCAAATTCTACACTCGAGAATCAACTTAATTTCAACTAATTAATTTAGTGATTAGTATAACAGATCGATGCGATCAGTGCAAACAAAACCGCTAAAGTAATTACGATAACGATCCCCCTTTGCAATTGTGTAGATATATGTACGCATTTATGTATATATATATATATATATGTGTGCGTACATGTTACGTAACTCGCAATTTGAAAGGAACAGGATTCGCAATTTAATGCGTTACGCTGTGCACGGAATGAGCGCAAGAAGAGCGAAATAGAAAGAGAGAGAAAACGCGTTTATTACCCAGCGGAACGATAACATCCAACAGTGTCACCCACTGCTATTCGTTAAATGTAGATAAAGTGGGTGAAATGAATGCAAATTTCGTTGTTAAATGTGGTCTACATTCTCTCTCTCTCTCTCTCTTGTCGTGCAATTCATATCTTATAAAAAATATTACAATTAAATTTTTTTTTACACGGTCCAAAATTTTTATATCTAAAAGTATTATATATAAAAAATGTATAAAGAGAAAAAGAGGAAAAAAATTAATTTAAAAAAAAATAGAAATACATAAAAAAATTAATAATTATTACAGATATATATGTATATATATTATTTGTTAGGCAAATTACAATATTAAATTTTTTTATTATGAAGAACTACATGTATATATTCAACTGTTTGCAATTTTTTAATTTTTTAAAGAAGGATTTTACTTTTATTCGTTCATAACTTTCTTTCATAAAATTGACACTGATATTTTTATCATTTCGCTTATTATGTAAAGGAAATCGCGAATTTTCACATTTATAAAGAGAAATTCTCTGCGCGCAAATTTTGCTTGGTAAGATACAACTTTTTACGTATATAGATCTATTTATACAGCACCATATACATGTCGTGCATGTCATCTTTACTCACCTTCCTTGATGAGCTGACTACAGGTGTGCTGGACGCTGGGCGGGCTCGGCTCGCCGCTACTAGTCGAGTCCGTGCGATCTCGCATGCCCTTCTCGTTACCGCTGCCGTAGCCCTCGAAGGGATTGGTCATGGCGATCAGCGAGTTTACGATTTCCGGTGTCCTTGGCGTAACCTCGGCTGCCGCCGCCGTGACACCGAGAAGACCCGTAGCCCCGGTCGGGCTGGGATTCATGTTCACGTTCAGATTGTACATGGCTTACGCCAGGCTTTCACCATTTATCTAACCTGGAAACACGAGCAGTGAGGTCGTTGTGAAACAAGCGAAACTAATTAAGCGTGAAAGCGCACTAAATGTAATTGGGTATTTCGAAGATAAATTTAGCTTTAATTTTATTTTATTAGCCTTTTAATCAATTAAAAAAGTCAAATTGTCGAAAAAATTGAAATAATTAAAGATTGATAGAGAATTGAAACGCGTGCATTTAACATCATTATATTTATTTAAGTCTAACTAAAGCTAATTAAGCATATTAAATATAACAAAATATTTCAAAGATTTTAAATTTAACTTCAATTTGGATAAATTTAAATAATGAATAAAATTGAAAAAATTGTGGAATAAAAATTGAAAAAAATGGAAAATGAACTTACAATTAAATAAAAAAAGATATTAAAAAATCAATTTGGCTGGTATTTGCTTTCACTTTTATTACGATTGAAATAAATCCAACATATATACATTATTGAAACTGAAATGTGATTATATGTAGAAGGAAGTAAATATGTATTCGTAAAGGAGAAAAATTGATATAAAAATCGGCGCAAACGAGCCTAAAGGGATTCGGGGGTTCCTAAATGTGGCCTGTAATTATAAATCGGGAGAGACCCGCGCGAGTTCTCGAAATAAATTATTCTGCGAAAACCGCAATCAAGGATGTCGCTCGTTCTCTATCGCTTCACTCCGCGGAGACTCGCCTCTCCGGAATTCCTGAGAAAGATTGGCGCAAACCTCGTTATATTGTGTCGCACGGAATGCAAAGTGTATATTCATTTTTCAGTATATTCATTTTTGCGATAGTGTCTCAAAAATGAATATATCCGAAAAATTGGAATCTCTTTCTTATTCATCATATCATATTTCAAATATGTATTATAATTAAATATTAAAATTACACTTATAAATATTTATTTTTGTCCCTTTCCTGCCATAGAATGACGATATCATAATCATATCAGAAATTGCCAATCCTTATCCTTCCGATCGCGACCTTCAATCGCGATCTATCAATGATCGATCCACTCGCCCACGAGACGCGCGAGCCGATTCAATACAGCACCTGTACAATTAAACTGCCGATAACGAGACATAGGAAGACGATCTCGTCTCAACCGGTTTTGTGAAAATTCTACTAATTTCGTTGAATACTCATTAAAATCACAATTCATATTTTTTAATAATTTGACAAATTAATATTATAATATTTTGAATTAATAATTTAAGAAATTAATATTTTTTTACATTTATTATTCTTTAATGTTTGTTTAATATTAAAAATTTATGATTATTAAATACTAAATTTTCTAAGTGAAACTAAAAGGTAATAAGCATTTGTTTTTTTTTCTTTCAAAAGTGTAGATTTCTTTAAAGCATTCTTTAAACTAAATTATGCATAAATTCGATTTTAACTAATATTTATAAAATAATATAAAGCATGATAAATAATATAAAAATTATAAATTACAAGTTATGTAAATAAAATATAAATATATACATAATATAATAATCGTGTGTGTATATATTCACATTTTTCAAATATTTATTTCTCCTAAATGGGATTTTAAAGTTTTAAATATGCGCATGCTCCGTACTTCTTTCGATATTGTGCTTCCGGCAGCAGTTGTATGCTGAAAGATGAACCGTTTCTCTGTTTGGTCGCGTTTGACTGGGAAGGGGGGAGAGGGGTCTCTGGTGAACGCATTTATCAAAATTATTCTTGACAGGGATTGACAACCTTTTAGTTCTCACTTGCTCGCTTGCTTGCCCACCCACAACGAGTTTTCTCGCCGCATTTTTCAGGAACGTACCGGATACACCGGGTATTCATTATATTCGGTATTTTTACAAACGCGGTCCACTAATGAGAATTATGTAACCCGTACGTTTCAACTGATAGAAATACGAAGGAAAATCGGAGTATCTTATCTGCAGATTTAAATTGCCATTCCAAATTAAAGAGAGAAAATTAATATATTCCTAATATATTTTAATATATATTCTTAAATAAAGTTTAAATTTTGATGTTAAATTGTGCATATTGATATACAATGTTACATACAACAATGTTACATAATATTTTTTATAAATTTATGTTTTATTTATTTATATTTATTTATGATAATTAAATATTTTAGATTTATAATTTTTTAGCACTCAAACTATATGATATAATAATTAAGGCATAAATTTTTATAACATAATATATAATACAATAATAATGTATTAAAATTGCAAATGTGATATAATATCTGTAATTGCGTTTGACTCGGGAATCGAGAGATTGATTTCAATTATTATCAATTTTTGTACTTAATAACGATTCGTCGCCCCGTCACTTTCACGGTCTCTCGCATCTTATAAATTATTGATTAACCTTATCCTATCAGATAGCGGTAATGAATCGTGATCACTGACTTCGAGCGGAGATATATTGATCGTGAATAAATTTAAATCCAATTTATACTCTGGAGTATAGAGATCCTTACGTATCGATTACACGCAAGAAATCTGCTACCGTGGCAATATTCCACTTCGTTTCTATTTTTCGCAACAATTTTTTGAAAAATTAATCTATCGTATAAAAAAAATATAAAATTAAATCCGATTCTCCATGATGTAAACAAAAATCTTCGATTTATTATGGCGAAATTACTATTTAAAGTTTCACATAAAGAAAGTATTGCTTATTCATATAGCAAACCATTTTGCATAAAACAATGAATTTATAATGACAATAGGTAAACGCAACTGCTCGTAAATTGATCAATATTTTTAAAGATATATTTGAGAAATATGCTATGTGCTCTTTATAATTCTCTTTAAATCACTTTTATAACATGATATATTATAATTAAAATTTAATTACCTCTCTATATTTTTATTTATTTTTTTAAATTGTGTTGAAAGAATAAAGGAAAAAATAATATTATAAATTAATTAAAAATAGCATTTGGAAAAGAATCAGCCCTATTTCTTCGAAAATATTATCTGAATTTTTAATAAAAATTGATGCCTATCACATTATCTTAGAATTGTAGGAAAAATTTAAAAAGAAAGCCACAAGATTCAATGACGGTTGCGTAGTTTCAATGGTTAAATCTTTTAGAGGGGACAAAATTTTTCAACTAGCAATCGCGGAGTTACTTAATCGCAGAGAAGGAGAATCGCTCTTTTTCCTTTCGCTCTCTGCATGCGGGTATTTCGTAAGAATTTTATCGTTCCGTATTCGGTCGGGCCTAATGCCCTTGCAACTCCTCCTCTTTTTCTTCCTTCTTGGCCTTCTACGGTGCCTCCTTCTTCCACCTCCGCCTTTTTCTTATACTCGCGAGCAACAAAAAAAAAAAAATAAGAGGATGAAAAAGAAGAAATGACTTCCTCAGGCTTGAGATCTTTCGGGGTCCATATATGCGCGTGACAAAGGGTCCCCTCGGTAACATACCCAATGACCTATATGTGCCGAGGTGGAAGACGTGGGATACGCTCAAAATGAACAAGAGCTCGAACAAACACTTGTGTGTGTGTGTGTGTGTGTGTGTGTGTGTATGTGTGTATGTGTCTGTATGTATGTGTGTGTAATTTTGGCGTTATTTATAAATATTTTTAAATTCATAATCTTAGATATATTTTAGATAATTGATATTTTCACATAAATGTTTTAGATATTTTAAAGATTTTAATAATAATCGGATCAAATGTATATGTCCTCAATAGTCTTATAATTTTTCAGCAAAAAAAAATTATGGAAGTAATTATTTCCGCTTAATATATTTATGAAAATTTTGAAACGGTATAAAAATTAAAAAAAAAAATAATTTTTCAGAGTGATACAAAAACAATGCAATGGGCATAATGTTGCAACTAGCGACTGATGAGAATAATATTCCGTCTAACAAAATATTAATTTTAGTCACAAACTATATTAAGAGCTCTGTGCGCGTTTATAAATTCTAGTTCAACAGTTTAACATTCGTAAAGATTTTTGATTTTGTTGAAAGATGATACAAGGTGACACGGAAAACTCACAGATTTGCGGACGATGATGTCTGGGGTTTACTGGCGGCATTGCAGTTTGAAATAATAATCGGACCGCCTTTCGCGTTTGTTTGAATGGGAACAGGTGTCCGATCGAAACTGCCGTTGGCTTAGCCCGCCGTTAAACTTATAAATAGGAGCCGTTTGATTTTGACGTATGGCACATTCGGACGCGTTGGTATATTCGCACGATTTTCTCTACCCAAGATTTCTTATCTCATAAAACTACTAAACTAGGATTTATAACAGTTGTATTTAGCATATTCGATCGCCTCCATATTTTGTGCAATTCGAGATACATTATACCACATTATTCTTTATTATCAATGACTTCCTCTCTTCACGCAAGACTATATTTATAAAAAAAAATATATATATATATATACATATATATATGTAGATATATTTCCTATGTTGTGTCTCGCCTCGTTTCTGGGAAGTGGACGGTATCTAATTCTTGGAATCCTTGCAACGCGCCTGATCTCAATCCCAGCATCATCCCCTCTCTTATGTATACTAACAAGTAGATAGTAATTATCCTTTTCTCAAAGAAAGAGAAAGAGAAAGAGAAAGAGAGAGAGAGAGAGAGAGAGAGAGAGAACCTCGGAAGAGGAGATCCCCTCAGAGGAACACATGTGTCCCGCATTTCTCGTCCCGAACCCCGCCCTATAGTATGAAATTATCATCTTCTCTCTTTTTCCTTCCTCCTATAATCCGACTTAGAGAGATAAAAATATTATCATCTATATATTTTTTTGTTGTATAAAAATATTCTGCAATTTTCTCTTGTATTTTTTTCTGTGTACTTTCGTGTAGAAAAATTTATAACTTACATCAATGGTAGAGAAAAAAATAAAATATGTACAATCTTTAAAATAATAAATTAAAAAGATAAGCATATATAATTTTTGGAATTAAATTACGGTAAAATAAAGTAGTTTTTTATTTCAATAAATCATATAGTAAACTTAAATAT